ACAGCAAGAAGGAGCACCATAACTACGTTATGGCCCTGTTAAATATATTTATACCATCAAATTTCATCTTGCGCCATGAAGAAATGAAGGAAAGCATGAGGGAAGCAGGGGGGTTGGAGCTGAAGATCTCTACAGGCCCCTCTCAACCCGTACAATTCTGTGATTCTGCGAAATTAACTCAGGGAAAATCCTGGAAGGAATTTGTGCCTCATGCAGTGCTGCATGCGATGGAAGACAGAGAAAAGCTAGTCCAGGTCCTGGACTCAAAGCAGGGCCAGCTGGAGCAGCTTGCAGTGAGGGCACCCAGAATGGCCTCCATGCAGCTGCACGGTTGCCGGGTGGCGGTGCGGTGACATCGTGACGGCATTGTGATGCAACAGTGGGTGAGCGTGACATAAAGCTGCAGGCTGGGACTCTGGCTGGGGTGGCCTCAGTTCGCTGCTGCTGGAGCGAGAGGTGGCAGCGGAAGGTCGCAGTTCTCAGAGAGTTCCTGCAAGGAGCCATGGAGCGCTGTGGCACTGCTGGATTCCGAAATCCGGATGCCCTTCTGAGCATCGTGGGGAAGAGCGGAAAGGTGAGCACCGCGTCCTCAGAGAGGGCTGAGTGCAGCAGCCTGGCCTCTGTGCGACTGCTCTGGGGCCGGAGATGCTCTCTGGAGGCAGACGGGCATCTTCTCATGCTGGCGCTGGAGAAGGCTTGCAGGGAATCGCGCCTCTCCGCACATCCCAGCGTCGGGCTCAGAAGTGGGAAGGCAGCTGCCAAAGGGAACGGGGCTGGGGCTGGGGCTGGAGAGGGGACTGGAGTGCCTGAGTGTGCAGGAGTGTCTTTGTCTTTGTCTTTCTAGCTCCGACCCGGAGGACAGGAAGTTGGAGCAGGAGGTAGCGGGCTGCTGGACCTCCCACTCGGGGTCAAAATCCCTGTGCAGCCTGGCACCAAGCCTGTCTTCTGCAGGACAAAGCTGGGGGAAAAGGTGAGAGGAGGAGGAGGAAAGGATCCAAAGGGCCTCTTGTTTCCTGGGGTTGCCATCATGCCAAGGAGGCCTTGTGGGACCTGCTCAACAGTGGGAACTGCGGCCCTTTGCTCCTTTGGCCCTTTGCTCCAACCGCATGGGGGAATGAAGGCACACTCCTGGCTCCGCAGCAGGGAGACAACCGAGGGCTTGCCAACAGCAGTGCCCAGTGGTCAGGAGAGGGTCTGAAAGCTGGGCTCTCCACACGGATGAGCTTGCCAGCACTAGTTCCATCACCAAATCTGGCACCAGGCAAGCAGGTGGCTGGGGCCCTGCCCGCAGCTGCTGTTGGGATGCTGGGGCCAGGCACCCATCTGGCACAGTCAAAAATGTGGAGAGTGGGACATTCCTGGAAGAGGGTGCAACCTTCTCCTGCTCTCCCTCTTGGAGGACTTAGAAAAACCCAGACGTGTCTGTTTGGGAAATGCACACAGCATGCTCCTCCTCCAGCTGGGCGTGCAAAAGGCCAGCCCGTGTGCGTGAGCAGCTTGGAAGCATCTTTGTCTCTGCTGCTCTCTCCTTCCCCATTCACACTCTGGAATGCATCTCTTCCAGCTTCACCAGCCTTCTCCTCATTTTGATCTGGGAGATCCGTACAGTCGCCATCTGAGCACAGAATACAACAGCCTGCATGACCCATATCTGCAGAACTACCACAACCGCAAAGACAACCTGCAGAACCTGAAGAACAGGGGCCTTGTCACCAAGGCTGGCAAAGTAGGTTTGGAAGTTGGGCTGACCAACACAGGTCTCCTCAGGAGGGGTTTCCGGGCAGCGGGGCCGGGACCTGGCACCCCAGTGTGGAGTCCCCCTGGCCCTGGGAAGGAGGGAGGAAGCAGCGCCCCCACGGCTGGGGAGGGGAGGGTGGAGAGGAGCAGCTCCCCTGCTGCTGGGGGCCTGCACGTTTCTGGAAGGCTGTGAGGGAAGCTACCTGGACAGTTCTTGGGAGTCATCTGCCCTTGTCTCTCTGTAGGTTGTCTGCACTCTGAAAGAGTTCAATGAGTACAGGCAGTACCTGACCAGGCTGAAGCTGGAGCAGGAGAAAATAAAGAGGCAAGAAGAGGTAGGCAAAACCTGGTGTTGGGAGGCACGTGTCAGTGGCATGGCACCGAGGGCACGGGCTTTACTTGATGGATCCGAGGGAGAGGGGGAATGCAGAAGAGGTGAGGGCTGGGCTGGGGGTGCAGGCACTGTGGCATGGAAAGGACAACCCTGCTTGGGGCTGAGTTATCGCCGCATGCTGGCGTGGGGTGGCTGGGAATGTTGCTTGCTTGCAAACCGAGCACCGAGGCAGCTCTTTTCTTCTGCCCTCATTGCGTGGCTGAAGCAGAGTGCTGGCCCTCATCGGTGTCACTCATCAGCACGCAGGGCTAGAGGCACTTTCTGAGACAAGGCCGAGCCTAAATCCACTGTTCCCTTCCAGGAAAATCTTGGTCAGGAGATGCCCGGTTCGAAGAAATCTGCCTGCAGAATGCCAACGGACATGCAGAAATCTTGCCTGCGCTCAGCCACTACTGCGGACGTGGTTGCGGAGGAGAAAGCCAGTCCACTGCAGCCTCCCAGAACAGCTGGCCCTCCTCCTAGAAATACTCGTCCGTCTGGTCAAAATAGAAGGCTGAAAGTGGCTTTGGTTCAGGAAGACCTTCAGAGAGATTCAAAGAGCACAGGGCGTGCAACGAAGCTGCCTGTCAGGTTGCCTAAACTTGAGACAAGCAGCAAAGCTGGCGAGCTCCCTGCAAAGATCCGTTCTGAAACTGCCTCAAGAAGGAAGCCACGATTCCACGGAGATCGTGAGTTCAGAGCTGTGTCTGAACAGCACAGGGAAGACCAGAGTCTTCAAGAGGCAGTTAAGACTCAGGCGACAGAAGCCTTGGATGGCGTGAAGGCAGAGTTGGGTGCTGAATGTTCTGAAACCATCGAGCTTCCCAACAGCCGTCTCTCTCAGAGGCAGCCGCAGCCATCCCAGGTGCCTCTGTCATGGCAGAGCAGGACGGCAGGACCAGGCTCATCAGAAGAGCAGAGCCTGGCAACAAGCCGGAGAGAAAAGCTGCCCCTGATCCAACCAGTGCCAAGCACTGTTGACATCTCTTGTCTGATTCGCCGCATTGTACAGGAGAGCATTGAAAATGCTGTCTCCAGAGTGAAGGAGGAGGAGCAAGAAGAATCGCTCCGTAGGCGTGCCAAATCCATTGTCACCAGTGCAGTTTTAAGAGCAAAGAATCGTTTAGAGGATGAGCTGCACCAAAGGCCTTAAGCCTATGGAACTACTGGACCACCTAAACCCCTCCACCCATCCTGCTCATGCCTCGGTCACCGTGTCATCTACTCGTAACAACAGTCTCGTACGCATGTCCAAACAAGGGGGGAAGTTCCTTTCAACCTACCGCAACATAAATAAATAAACCAACATTCCAAAAAAAAAAAAAAAATTGTCATTTTTGGGGGATTATTCTATGTTTCTATTTGTACAAATATTTTTCTATTTGTCTGGAAGGAGAGGCATACACCATTTGGAATAATGTTGCTATTTTTGTGAAATGGCTTACTCTTGTAGCTGTTTTAAGCTGCAGTCTGTCTCTTACCCTGTGTCATACGAGTCCCACAGGTTGTCAGGATGAGCTCTCTGAATATTTTAACATTTTGGAAAGCAAATCATCACTTGTGCTGCATTCTTTGGCCTGCTTCTCATGCAGCGTTCCCCAGGGAGGTTGCAAAGACATCCCCAGGGAGATAGAGCTCATGGCCTCATATACTCAGTTTGGAACTAGCAAAGTTCCGCCAACTCTCTTATCATCAATATTCTTCTCAAACTCACCCTAATTTGTGGTTGGATTCATGAGTTTTTTATC